GAGGTCTGAGCAGCCTCTATCATCATGATTTAATTATTGGAACAGTCTCTTTTCACAGGACAGAACTGGATGTGTGTAATGGCAGTGGAGGGAAATGCAGGCAGGACTTGCCCCTGGGCTCCCCAGTGACAGGGCTGGGAGGGAGGGGTTGTGTTCCCTGCCTTCTTCACACTGCACAAGGCCAGGGAAGGCTCAAAAAGGCATTATTTAAGTCTGTGAGGAAATACAGCTGCAACAGGAGGAATTTGCTGCTTAAGCCAGTTTCTTTTTCAGAGTTTCTGTTGCTATAGCCACATTATTCCTAGTAGTAACTGCTGGAAGGGATGGAAGTGGAAAAAAAAAATTGGCCTGTTCCTTGTGCAACAGGTGCAGTGTTCGTTTGTGAGCATGGACTGAGCTGAATCTCCTTCCCGTGCCCAGGGAGTGGCTTAGGCAGCCCAGGCAGCAACTGCCCCAGGAATCTGGGATTCCTGCATTTTATGTCTCCTGGGAAGATGCCAAGCAGAATTTAATTGCTTGTGGTGAAATCTTTCTCTGTGGCAAGATAGGACATTGAATGCTTTTGAACTTCTAGATTGCTATGGGACAGCCTGATCCAGCCTGGTTGTGTTTAATGTACAGACAGATAATGAAAGATCCTTCTCCATCCCACTGAGTTCTTTGATGCACTTCTTTGTTTTATGTATCCCAGGCTGACTTGAGGGAGAGGAAGGGAATTCTTGTAATAACATACACGTTGGTTTTTCTGTTTAGTAAATTGACAGGTGTTTGGTTTTTCTCGTGTCTGCCCAGGAAACCATGTCTTGTCTCCCGGAGAGGCCGTTGGAAAAGGTCTAACGCCAGAAGCTGCCAAAGATCTGGGTCTCCCTGAAGGGATTGCAGTGGCAGCATCTCTCATTGATGCACATGCTGGAGGACTAGGTACTCACTCATGTGTTTACTCTTCTTGGAGATGGAAATGTATTGAATTAACCTTAGAAAGCTGTTTTTCTCACAGCCTGGTTTTATCCAACTATTTAAACTATTTAACTATTTATCCAATTATTTTAAAAAAATAATTAAAAAAGTCATCTCAATAACTGCTAATATTGTATGTCTGTTTATAGAAGGAGCTATCACCATTATTTGTCTTTTCAGCTGTATTTCCAAGTTGTTAACTTCTGCTAGTTCCACTTTGAATTCCAGAGCCGAAGTACCATTCTGTTCCAACTCCAGCATGCTGAGAGTTTGCATCTTCTGTTGCTCAAAATTTGGGGATAGACAAGAAAAATAAAAAAAGTAACATTCTGAGGGAGAAGCCTCATGTCTGAGGCTTGTTCATAGTTGTTTTCCTTCTTAGTTTTAGAAGTGATTCGTGCTTCAAGGCTTTAAGGCCTGATGCTTAGACTTTGTTGCTTTTCCAGCATCATATTCTGATGTGCCCAGTTTCAACTGTGTTGAAATGTATTTGGTAGGTTCAGTGGCTTCATTTTCTTACTATGTTGTTTGGCCTGATCTTAGTGAAGTCAATAACAAAGAGATTCAGTGTAACTTTTTCAGCAGGAAATTGAGGTTATTTATTTGATAGTTTAGAAAAAAATTAGTTCCTTCACCTCAGGAAGTTACAGTGTTATTGAAACAGTATTTTTCAATGGGAATCTCATTGCTCATCAGAGGATTTTTCTCTAGGTTGAAATATGATTTTCTGCTAAAATACCAGTTTTGTTTCAGATGTTTTGTGCTGTTTTAAGTCTCTTTTGTTCTTCTAGAAGCTGGAGTCTGCAACTTTTAAAATGTTTAAAAATGCTTTACTTTGCTTCTGATCACTGTTTCTGATGAGGTTTAGTAATCATGTAGATTGCTTTTCTTACCACCTCAGAGGGATCAGACATAGATCTATCTGCAAAAGGAGGACTGAGCTTTAGTGTCATAGTTGTAGGTGTGTTGTGCCTCGACTGTTGTGACTGACTTAAAAATCTTTTTGTGTCAATTATTATCCCAACTGCCTAAAAATGTGTTTAACTGTGGGCCTTGGCAGTTCTGTATTCTTGGAAAAGGATTTAATAATAAACTGATCTGAAATAATGAACTTGCTGCAAAACTGGGTTGTCACAGAGTACATGGAAATGTGGCAGTGGAGGGACCTTGTTTAATTGGCATCATGATGTGAGTACTGGATCCAGAGCACAGGAAGTTTCATGTGTTGAAATCAGTTAATTGAATTTAAAGAAGAATAGAGAGCAAGTGTCTGTTCCTTTTTTTATAAACTTATGTAAAGAATCTCTGACGCTGGAAATACAGAACTACTGACAGCCCTCAGAGAAGGGCTTCAGTGGACTGAGACAGTCTGCTTATGCTAGTCCTGTTTATCCAAATATGTTTTCCCAGATGGCACCACAAACAGGAGCAGACTACTGAAATGATTGCCAGGGGAAGGAAAACACCACATCCAGGTGGTTGTTAGAGAGGGAGAGGGGAATCACAGAGGGAAGAGTCAGGAAGGCAGTGGGAGAACCCATATGGTGATCACACAATAGCTCAGTACAGTCTAGGACAAGAGAAAGATTGAAGATGGAGGTCATCCTTCTTGAGTCTTGGAGGGATCATAATTAGGTAGGGAAACTAGTAGAAAAAGCAGTAAAAATAAAAAGATTTTGATAACAGAAGTGACAACAGGAGAAAAAGGAGAACTGTAGAGTGCAAATGTATGTAGAGAATAAACAGTATGGCTGCACCTCCCAAATACTGAATATAAATCCTTCATCCATAGCTGTTGATAACAAGAAATTTAAATATTTTTCAAGTCTAGTTTTACCTGCACTGTGAAGAATACAGAGCTGAAATTCCTGAAGGTAAAACAGGAAAGCAAAAAGGAGAAGAAAGATAATATAATGAGGAAATGAAACTGTTCTGGTTAAAAGACACTGAGGATGGCAATGCACTAAATCATATTAATCTTTTAATAATGATCAAAAGAGCCCAGAAGAAAAGAGAGAAGAGATATTTGAAACAGTGAAGTAAAATGTGAAAATATTGGAAATAAATATCTCTTGTAGTTGGTGTAAAACATTTGTTTAGGAAAGGCACTGATGTATGTTTTAGTTCTTACCCTTCTGTGATCTGTATTGAAATACTGAGGTTTACAATTTGTTGGAAGGATATGACTTGTAGAGTAGTAGGCATCCAGTGGGTGTCATTCTTCTTATTCTTAAACACATTCTGCTGGTTGTTTTAAAAACAGTTTGTAACAGCAGAGTAATGGAAAGGGCTCTTTGGTGTCCTGCTGGCTAAACCAGAATGACATGATGGTCATCTTGTATTCGGTATTAATAATCAAAGCTTTCATTGTTGTGAGAATGTCCTGGACTTGTATGCTCTCTGACTTCAATTAATCACAAATAGGAAGACTCTTGCAACTCTAAATGCTAGTAAAGCCACCCTCAAAACTCCAAAAAGGCCCAGAGTGCCTGTTTTGCAGAATGTATATTTTCTTAGTGATTAAAAAATATCTAAACACGGAGTCCTTAGTTTTGTATTGTTTATGAAAATGCATTTATGACATATGTTAACAATTCAGTTTCACAGATTTGGTCCCTCTCAAGTGTGAACAAGATTTTTAGCTGCTTTAGAAATTCTAATACAGTGTTGTTTAGTAGAGGAAATTGCCTTGTAGACAACTCTATCCAAAATTCCTAATATGAACTCATACATATCACGTTGGAGCAGTGAAAAAAAAGAGCATATGAGGTAGAAGCCTTACTTTTGGCTTCCTCTTTTTCCTGCCTCTCTGCTTGACAGCTGTGCTGCCACATGATTAAAGGATAAAGGGGCATAAGGACAGATAATGATTCCTATGATTATTGAAGACTGTAAAATTTTAGCCTCTTAATTTTCTGATTATTTAGATGACTTCCAACCATGATAACACCAGGATAACCGTGGCACTCACAGTAAGACTGATTTGATAACAGAATGTTGCAGTGGTGACCTAAACAAGAAAGTGCTAATGAAATGCAGGATATGAATCAGACACAGAACTTGGCATCCTTCACAGTGTCCAGCAAGTGCTTTCATGGTCCTTCTACAGTGAGGGGAAAGGGTTTTTTTGGCAGCATCGGCAAACTGGGATCCAGACTGAGCACTGCAGATGCAGATGTGGATGCAATGAACAGTCTGGTGACGAGTTTGCCAGTTGAAAAGTGATATTCAAGAGGAAAAAAAGACAACTAAGAGAATGTCACTTGTTGGGCTGCTGCATTTTGCTGGGCACAGGTCAACGTGGTGCAAGAATGCAGCCTGGGAGAGGAGGAGGAGAGGGCAGGATTCCCACTGTAACCTCCCATGGAGTGAATCAAGCAGGATGTGATGTGTTCTGAGGCTTGGCTGTAGCTTTGCCTGGCACCTCTCTGGCATCTCCTGGGTATATTTTCTACTGCAGCCTGAGTGTTGCTGAGTTTGTCCTCTGTCCTGTCCTGTCCTGCACGCAGAGGCTCTTCAGAGCCAAGCTCAGTTCCTCTGAGGGAAGGAATAATCTCCCTTCAGATGGTTCTGACACAGACAGAAGAGCAGCAGCAGTGAAGACAACAAAGCTGGCAGCCTTCCAGTCTCCTGCCAAGTTACCCCTTTCTCCAACTCGTCCCCTGACAAAACACATCATCTGGGATGTGTATGATAAACTGTGAACAAATAAACACATCTGCAGCCTGCCATTACAGCAGGGCACTCTTTACTTTGCATGTCAGCGTGCTACCTAAGAGAATAAAGTCAGGTTGCAGGCAAAATAACACTGAAAAATCGTGATGATAAACGTGAACGTGGAAGAAATGATCTTGTGTCCTTGTATCTGGAATAAAAATTTTAATCTGATGGGTAAAATACTTTTCTTCAATGACTAAGTAGACTTTCTTGATTTGTGGCAGTTGTGTCAGATTATTTAGCAATCATTTGTGTGCAGAAGAGCTCTGTTTGGTGAGGGGTGGCTTGTTCTTCTTTAAAAGAGAACTTTAATTTTATTTTAATAGGAGTAATTGGAGCAGATGTGAAAGGACATAACCTGCCATGTGAGAACCAGCCGATTACATCCCGAGTTGCAATGATCTGTGGAACATCTTCGTGCCACATGGGGGTAGGTTTTGTGTTCTGATTTGTACAGAATATACTAACTTATGTTTCTGAAGGGAAGAGTGACCTTTGTCCTTCTCACCCAGTTCCTTTCCCTTGAATTTTTTCTGGTAACTCTATCTTTTCCTTCAGATATTAATTATAAATTACCGTGCATTTGCTATTAGGCAAGAACTTTAATAGTAGTAGAAATCAATACTGAAAAATGACATGGAAAGTAAAAACCACAATGCCAGAGTGGCTTAAAGAGCAGCCTGAAATCTGAGCCAAAGACTCTGAGCCTGAGTTATCTGTGACAAGCCTGTCACTAATGTGTTGCAGAATAGTGGCTTTGGAGAAGGAGTGCACGTCTTCAGTCACAGCCCTTCTCCCCCACCTCTTGCCTGAATCAATATAAATCCTTCTTCCTCTGAAAATTGCCATGATGTATAGAATTATGATACTTATCATGACTAAAAAGAAAGAAAACCCCCAATAAGCAATTTTCACATTGCTAATTTTTCTCAGTGAATTAATACAAAAGCTTTCTCTGAGATTGCAATTAAAATTTAGTGTCTGCTTTTGAAATTTATACCGTTTTAAAATGTATGAGTCTGAGAGCATTCCATTTAGATAAGTACCCTTTTCTGCCCCATTTTTTATTTAAAACTCATTTTGGTCTTAAATTTAGACTGACTATAACTTGGATTTTTCCAAAAGGAGCAAATGGCACGGGGAGTGCTAGAGGTGTTAGAGAGGACTAACATGCTTCATGGAGAAAGCTACAGGAGAGAAAAAGAAAGGAGGCTGATAATAAAACATCAGGCGTAACAGTAAGTTAAGTTGTCTCTGTAGTAACAGCGTGAATCCATGGTGATCTTGAGCGTGAATAAAGGGTGATCTTGTCACATGGATTGTCATCCTGCAAAGCATTTTAGCACATGATTGAATTTAAAGACGTGAATAATCCCACTATTGTGAAGCAGAGCATTGAACAAGAGCTTAAATCCTGTAGACAAACTGGAATATATTTGGGCTCCTTCCTAAACAAAAGTTTCAAGCCTCAAACTCCATCGCTCTTGGCTTGCTCTGTCTCTGAAAAATTCCACTGGTACCTCTGTGTGTGTTGCAGGGCAGGTGGGGCACCTGCAGGTACCAGCCCTGGGGAAAGGAGTCACCCTTTGAGCCTGCCACTACTTTCATTATTTCCAGGTTTTTGGTGGAGGTTTCTGCCCTTTCAGTAGAAGCTGTTTGAGTGAACTCTTCTTAACCTGTTTAATTCAGCTGAGTTAGTTTAAATTGTTAAAATGAGTTGAGTTTATAGAGACATAATACTGGACTGAAATGAGCTGAGGAGCTCGCAGACAGGTTCCCCCAAAGGTCTAAGGGCAGTGTTGAGTAGCTGGCAATGGGCCACCTGGCTCCAGCTTATTCCTTTAGTACAACCAGCCCTGTAGGAGCACATGTGTGCTTATTTATTAATTTTCAATATTTTTACATTAGTATGTTCTAACTAGACCCAGTTCACAAATATAGATTGTTTTGCTTCCCAGACTAGAGCGTGGCACATCAGCATTGACACTTTCCCAGCACTTTTTGTGTGAATACTCCACAACCAAGGGAGATGTGGCTCCCTTAAATATGCTCATGGAACAAAAGGCACTTAAGAAAGTTCACGTCAATGTTCTGTCATTAAAGCAACCCCAAAGCTGAACACAGACTGCACAAGGTAGAACCTTTTAAGGCTCTCAATCACTTTAATGCAAACACGGGAATAGATGCTTGCGCAGTTTTTGGCTGGATTTAAGTGGATTTTTATTTGAATGTAACTACTCAGCATTTTATAATCATTTCCTTAACTGCCTTCCTTCACTCATCTGCACAGAGGTATAACAATCTGTAGCCAGCAGACAATAAGTAAGTTCTAAACTTCTCTGGATTCAATCTGTGAAAGGAGATTTGGTTTACTGTTCTTTTATCTATTACCTGCACAGGCTGCATGAAGTGAACGTGTAGCACACAGAGCAGTTGTATTTGTGTTTTAATGAGACCTATATGCAGCTGCATTTGGCTGAAATTAGCTGTTCCTTTTTTTAATTAGGGCTATAAAATGAAAGTATATTATACTTGTGTTTTGATAGAAATATATATTTTCTCTCTCTGGGTGCACCAGGGGACCCTCAGGGCTACAGAGATTAATCATCGAGTTTAATTTAATGCAGTGGGAGAGAGACCTGTGTGGTCAGGCGGGCACTAAAAAGTGCCTTTGATGTGCCTCAGGTGCACTGAGCCCCAGTGAACCAGCAACAATAATACCTTTGTGAGATGATCAGAGAGGAGAGAGGGAGAAAATGGCCTGTGTGGAAACTCAAGGCCGTCCTTTGTTGTGGTTCTGGCAAACGAAGGAGCCAACTGTCAGGAGAAATTCAGCAAACAGAAAGCAGGGAGAAAGTACGGCTGGATTTCTTTCAGGGACCGTAACAGGAAACTGTTCAAAATCATCTACTATGCCTTTCTTTTCACCCTCTTCCTCCTTTTTTGGTGAGGGCAGTGGTACTACTGTTGGTGTGTGTGTGTTGGTACAGTAGTTCCATTCTCTACACCAAATACTCTGTGAGTCACAGGAGCAGGTATTGCTTGAACAGAGCATTGACTTTAAACTTTGAGAGAAACTACTCCTTGACCCAGTTTTCATTACCTCCAGGACTCTGGAGATCTTAAACAAAAGACTTTACTAATCGTGCCTTTGATATTTTAGAAAGTACAAATGTGGAACCTAATTTTACTCATGGCTATAATAGTTTAATTTGTGGTAGAACTGCCATTTTTAAGTGAGGATACCCTTTTGGAATTAACCACTGACAGTTTGGGGTAATCACACACACACAAAGAATTTCATGTCTCTTTGAGATATTAGAATAGCTCATGAAAGCAGCAAAATGCATGTTGTAATTAGGTTATTGATCCCAGTCCAGGTCTGAGTTGTTAGTTTCTCAAAGTCACTGCCACCTCAGGGCTCATCCATTATCCATGAGGAAAAAGAAACGAAAAGATGGTCTTCTGAATATTTTTGGACAGTTATTCATTTTACATGATTCTCTGCTGCCTCCCTTACCCTAGCAAAAGTCATGGACAGAATTTGCATGTGGAATGGCAAATAAGCTGTCCTTGCACTTGTGAAGGATTGTCCCTTGGTTTAGGGCTGGGACTCATCCCTGCAGGTTCGATCCGTGGGTGTTCCTTTCCAGTGGTGAATACTCACAGATGACTTTTCTGAGTGGGCTGCTTCCATCGTGTTTTGCAGACGGGGTCTCTGGGCTCCAGCACCCACACTTAGCTTTGGAACTTTTTAGGAGACTTTCCCTGTGTAGCCATGGTGACTGCACAAAATGTGTGTGTAGTTTTTCCCAGCAAAATACCAGCAGGTTCAAGGCCCTGAAATAGGAGCTCTCGTGTCACTCCTAACTCATAGTTTGCAAGGGTCTAACAGACATGCCCTAACTTCTGGGAGTAAGGTAACTGGTTTCCCTAAAAGCCTGCCTTGCTGCCAGTGTCCTAGGGCTTTATGGGATATTTTAAACGTTTCAAAATTTTTTTTTTATTCTGAAACCTTGATGTGATCGGGAGGATTTCAGGCTCAGGTATCTGTATTCCCATGTCCCAGCCCCAAACAGAGGCGTGTTTGCCCTTTTGCAGATGTGTAAGACCACCAAGAACTGAGTTAACTCTCAGATGCAAGTTATCAAAAGCTGAAAAGTAACAGGGACAAGCAGTATGACAGGGGACTTGGACACAGAAATTTTCCAGTATTCCTTGCAGCAAGTAATCTGGCAGTACTGCTGCCTCTGTCAGGTTTTAAACCAAAAGAGGGTTGATTTAGACTAGATCTTAGGAAGAAATTTTTTACAGTGACAGTGGTGAGACACTGGCACAGGTTGCCCAGAGAAGCTGTGGCTGCCCCATCCCTGGAAGTGTCCAGGTTGGACAGGGCTAGTGGGATAACCTGGGATAGTGGAAGGTGTCCCTGCCCATGGCAGGGGTTGGAATGAGATTACCCCTTAAAGGTCCCTTCCAACCCAGACTGGGACTTTCACGCAGGACAAGGAGAACGTGCACACAGAGCTGCAGGATCCAGAAATACTGAAGAGAAAACAGGGATCTTCTTTTGCCCCCCGCCATCTTCTCTTTTGTTTATATTTTGTGGTGAATCTCAGTTACAGTGTTCTGCTTTGCACTTGTCCCAGAACAATTGTACCGTCATGAAATTATTTGTTGTTCTTACTCTAAAACTTTTTGTCATTCACAGCTGAAGGAATTAGCCAGAGCATCGTCCAATGGGTACATTATCTGGCCTATTTTCAGCTTACTGAGTTGGGGAGGGTGGGTTCTGAATTTGGTGGTATTTTGAGTCTCAAATACAGAAAGTTTGTGTTCCTTCCTATCCAGTCTCTGGTATTTTTTTCTGTCTTCATTTGGGGATGTGATCTGTGTTCTTCTTCAGTCATTCCTTTTTTATCAGCTCTCAATACTTCTTTGGGGGGATTATCAGGGAACCATTTCAAGTTTAGATGTAGTCTCTTTTGCATTTGCTTTTGTTACTTCTGTAACTTTTGGCATCGGAAATGGACTCACCTGGCTTGATGCACAGTTCTTTTTTCCCCAGGCAATATTGTATATGTGGTTTGAAGTGTATAATTTAGTCATTTTTTAAATTGGAGAGGGACAAGCAATTTATCTTCTATCTTTTCAGATTTACTGTATGTTCTAAAAGACAGAGCAACTACATGAACAGCAAAATGGGCAGATCGTTTTGCTGTCCAAGTGTTTACTATTTATAATTTCAGGAAGAATGTCCCATACTCTATTTCACTAAGCCTAACCAGCCTTTGAGTGCTTTCTGCTAAAGGAACTTCAGCCCACTTTGCTTATTCTAAATTTGTTCATTTGATTCTCGTGATGACTGGCAAACACAATAGAGCTTCTTTGCTCCACAATATCCGCCCGAGCTGCCAGCTTTGTTCACAC